CATCGCACCTGCCTCACAAGTGCAGGGTCCTGAGTTTGATCCCCAGTACCAAAAAAACAAAAACAAAAACATAGTAGATTCATACAAAATATTACTTAGCAATAAAAAGAAATGAGGTACTGACACATGCCATAGTACCACTATACTCACCCATGGGTTAATATACTGATGTTCACAGCGAAACGTGCTGGGAAGGGGTGGGCCCTGCTGGAGGAGTTGTGTCAGTGGGCTGTGCCTCTGGAAGGCACAGCTCTTGCTGGTGCTCTTCTCCTGTGCTCAGCTTCCCAGCCACCATAAATTAAGCAGATTTATTCCACCAGGCCCTTCGGCTATGATGTTCCTGCCTCAGGCCACTGAGGACTGAAACTTCTGAAACTGTGAGCCAAAATAAACCTCTTCCTCTTTAAATGGTAGGTACTAGATATTTTGTCCTGGCAATAGGATTCTTTTTTTTTTTTTTTTTTTTTTTTTTTTTTTTTTTTTTTTTTTTTGTATGGGGATCAAACTCAGGACCTTGTGCTTGTGAGGCAGGCACAGTACCACCGAGCTAAATCCCTGGCCCTTGTCCTGGCAGTAGGAAAGCTGACCAATACAAGACAGAAACAGAGCGAATACTCTCTAACTCATTCTATGAGGTCAGCATAATCCTAAAACAAAACCAGACAAAAACATTACGAGAAGAAAAAACAAAACAAAACTACAGAATAACAACTCTCATGAACATAGTGGCAAAAATCCTCAGTAAATTTTTAGCAAATCAATTATTCAACTGTATATAAGAAGAATTATATACTATGACCAAGTAGAATTTATCACAGGAATACAAGGGTGGTCAAACATTTGAAAATCATTTTTTAAAAATATCTAGCTGGGTGTGGTGGCGCACGCCTGTAATCCCAGCACTCAGGGGGCTGAGGCAGGAGGATGGCTGTGAGCTTGAGACCAACCTGGGCTACATAGTGAGTTTCAATTCAGTCTCAACGACATAGTGAGACCTTGTCTCAAAAAAACAAAACAAAACAAAACAAAATCTACCACATCAGTAGTCTGAAGAAAAATTACATGATCATATCAACAGATGCAGAAAAAGTAACTGAATCTAAAAAGCATTTTGGATAAAATCTCTTCATTAAGTAGGATAAAGAGGAATTTATTCAATTTGATAAATAATATCTACAAACTGGGTGTGGTGGTACACACCTGTAATCCCAGAATTTGGGAGGCTGAGGCCAGCTCAGGCTACATAGTGAGCTCAAGGCCAATCTGAACTATATAGTGACACCGTCAATAAATAAATAAATGAAAAACAATGCAAACTAGGATTAGTGATGTATTGCAGTGTTAGAAAGACTTGCCTAACAATCCTGAGCCCGAGTTTGATCTTCAGCACTGCAAAAAAAGGAAAAAGGAAAAGAAAAAAAAAGGGTGGGGAGAGGGAAAAATTTATAGATAACCTCTGAGCTTTTACACCTCAGGGAGGCTGAGGCACCAAATATTCTTTCTGCATGAAATTCCCATTTTATCATTCATTCAGGTTTTTGCTCTAAAAACTATTGCCCCAGAGAGGCCTTCTCAAATCATGCTATCTAAAATGGCACCCCTGGTCTCATATGATGGCATATGCTGGTAACCCCAGCACTATGGGAGGCAGAGACAGGAGGATTGCAAATTCAACTCCAGCCTGGGCAACTTAACAACCTAGCAAGACTCTGTTACAAAATTAAAAAATATAAAAGGGGTAGGGGATATAGCTCAGTGTAAAGGACCTGAGTTCAATCCCCAGTTCTGCCAAAAAAGAAAGAAAAAAAAAAGAAACTTGCCATGGTAAACTCTCCATAAATATTTATCAAGTAAATAAAAACAGAACTCTATTCTAGATATTCAATAGACATGTTCCAGTCTTTACCTACTTAGCCTCTGGATAATGTTTGATATCATACTACTTGAAATTCTCTTTCTTTGGATTATGAGGCGGTCCCAATTCTTACTTTTTTTTTGGACAGGATCTTGCTATGTAGTTCAAGCTGATCTTGAACTCACTATGCAGTCTAAGCTGGCCTCAAACTCTCTTGGTTGGCCTCAAGCTGGAATAATCTTTCTGCCTCAGCCTCCTGGGTCTTGAGATTATAGGAGTGTGCCACCATACCTGCCTTCTTTGAGTAGTCTTATCCATTTCCCATGTTTAATAATCATCTTTATGCTAAATACTGCAAAATCTATCTCTTTCCTCTCTATATATTTCTATGCACATGCCCAATATACATCTTCAGGTACCAATGATATAAACCTTAAAATGTGTCAAAAGCAGGACTGTTTCTTAGCATCTCATGTCCCTTCATTTTCTACCTAGTTCTTCCATCAGAATATTCTAATTTCAGTGAAAAACACACTTATTTAAACCAGACGTCTTCAAACTAACTTCCATTCCTTACTTTATGTCACATCTGATGACCAATCACCAAATTCAACATCCAACAATAAATTACATATTAAGTACCTACTATGTGCTGGGTATTACTGCTCCAGGCACTGGGAAGGAAGCCTATATAAGCAATTTAATGAAGACATTTATTGTTTCGTAAATAAATGTACAGACAGGTGTATTTAAAGTTGGGTTAGTAGCTCACAGTATCAGACCATTACATAGTAATCTCTGTATGATTACTGGCATCATAGTTTCATTTGCAAGGCAAAAAGCAAAGGAGAAGAGTGAAACAGAAAGGTTTTCTTCAAAGGAAACTACTTTTTATCTTTCATTTTGAGACAGGTGCTCAGTAAAATTGTTGCCAGGTGGAGCTCCAACTTGTCATTCTCCTACCTCCATTTCCCAGGGGACAAGGATTATAGGTGTGTGCCTTCTCATCCAGTACCTTGATTTATCTGGAGACTGACAACATGAACACTCTATTTATTTGGGGTTTTTTTCACTACACAGCCCAGGCAGGCCTCAAACTGTGGCAATCTTCATGTCTTACAAGTGCTGGGATCACAGGTATGCACCACCACTCTTTAAAAATGAAATTTTCAGCTCATGTTGGTGGTATACAACTGCAGTTTCAGCTATCTGGGAGACTGAGACAGGAAGATCACTTGAGCTCAAATTCAAAACCAGCCAGCTTGGCGTGGTGGCACATGCCTGTAATCCCAGCACATGGGAGGCTGAGGCAGGAGGATCCCTGTGAGTTCGAGACCAGCCTAGGCTAGTGAGTTTCAGGTCAGTCTCAATTACATAGTGAGACCCTGTCTCAGAAAAAAAAAAAAAAAATCAAGACCAGCCTGAGCAACATAGTGAGACTCTCATTTCACTAACAAGAAAGAGAAAGAAAGAAAAAGAAAGAAAGAAAGAAAGAAAGAAAGAAAGAAAGAAAGAAAGAAAGAAAAAAAGAAAAAAAGAAAAGAAAAGAAAAGAAAAGAAAAGAGCGAGGTGCTTAATGGAAGAAGGTGATTTTTCAGTTGGTTTTTGGTTTTGGTTTTGGTTTTGTACCAGGAACTGAACTCAGGTTCCACACTTGCCAGTCAGACACTGTACCACTGAGTTACATCCCCAGCCCTTTTAGTTGGTTTTTGGAAGGGTGACTGCTATAGTTTGGATCACAAATGTTCCCCAAAGGCTTTATTGTAAGCTCTGTGGCATTACTGAGAGTTGGTGGCAACTTTATGAGGTGAAACCTCAAGTGAGGGCTCATCCTTAAAGGGGTTACTGGTATCCCAGACCCTCAGCTTCCTCTCTTTCATTGCCATATGGTAAGCAACTGCTTCTGCCAGGTAATCCCACCATGATATACAGCTTTGCCACAGAAACAGAAGCAACAGGACCAACATCCATCTACTAAAACCACCAAAACTTGACCCAAACTAAAACTTTCCTCTTTTATCATCTCAGGTATTTCATTAAAGTACCAGAAAGCTGACTAATAGAGCAACCAAGATTGACTTCCATAAAAACCAGACATGGAGGGCCAGGGATTTAGCTCAGTGGTTCCACCGCCTGCCTTGCAAGCGCAAGGATCTGAGTTCGATCCCTGGTACCAAAAAAAAAAAAAAAAAAAAAAAAAAAAACCTAGACATGGTACTTGCATAAAGAGTGAAACTTTAAACAAGCAAATAAATGTACAAGTACAAACAAGGTGTTTTTAGATTCCAAAATAGCTATGAAAAATAGGGTGACTGATTAAAAAGTGGGAGGTGTATTTTGAAGCTAAAGCTGACATCCAGGATTGACGAGGCACTCCTTGTAATCCCAGCACTCTTGGAGACTGTGGGAGGAAGATCTCAAGTTAGAGCTCTGCTTGGTGGAAAACTTAGCAAAACCCTGTCACAAAAATTAGCCAGATTGGGCCAGGGATTTAGCTCACTGATGCTGCTGCCTGCCTTGTAAATGCAAGGACCCAAGTTCAATCTCCACTAAAAAAAAAAAAAAAAGAAAAAAAAAAAGAAAGTAAAGAAAAGAAAAGAAAAGAAAAGAAAAGAAAAGAAAAGAAAAGAAAAAAAGAAAGAAAGAAAAAAATTTGCCAGGTTGTCGAGGCATAGTGGCATGTGCCTATAACTCTAGCACTTGGGAGGCTGAGGCAGGAGGATCACCATGATTTTGAGGCCAGCCTGGGCTACACAGCAAGACCTTGTCTCAGAAAACTTAAATGATGGGGGGCTAATGAAGTTTACTAATGATATTAAATGTATGACAAAAAGATTTCAAGTTAATACAGTAAGTCTCTGACTTACAAATAAGTTTTGTTCCAGAACAATGTTCATAAGCTGGATTTGTTTGTAAGTTGATCAAAGTGAGTCTTATACACTGTGGCGCAAATTTACAATGTAAAGCATAAAAAAACCAAAACTACATACAAATATTGTAAAGTTTTTATTTTTATTTATTTATTTTTGGTTTTTTAAGACAGGGTCTCACTATGTTGTTCAGACTGACCTGGAACTCACTATGTAACCTACACTGGTCTCGAACTCACAGCGATCCTCCTGCCTCAGCCTCCCAAGTGCTGGGATTACAGGTGTGCGCCACTATGCCCGGCAATAAACTTTTTATTTTTACAGGTACCTTGTGGAATAGTGCAGTACAACTGTAAGTAAACTATTTTTACTTTTACAGTAAAATGGCGAGCAGTACAGTATAACACTTGGTATGCAGGGGATTACATGGAGTGAACTGACAAGAAGAGAGTTATTAACTGGAGGAGGGAGGGTAAGGGGGATATGGTGCAGCTGAAGATCACAAGCAATAGGAGGTAGAGGGCAAGACGGAAATTCACTCACACCTGATATTAATGACACAGGTTTTTTTGTTTGTTTTTTTTGGTACCGGGGATTGAACTCAGGTCTTTGCGCTTGCAAGGTAGGCCACTAAACCGCTGAGCTAAATCCCCGGCCCATGACACATGGTTTTTAAATGGATTTAATTCTGTCTACCCACTTGAAAAAAGGATCCAGTGATGTCTGAATAGCTGTTTTTTTTCTCATCATGCTGTAGATGATTCTGTAGCACTGGATGACATTCTGAACAACTGCCACAATCTTTGGGTACCATTATACACTGGGATCCTGTGCCTCAAAAACTAACAGTGCCTCTTCAAGTAAAGAAAATGCTCTTGCCATTTTCTGTGCTGTGAATCTCTTTGGTTCTTCCTCTTGGCTCTCTCTTCATCTTTTCTCTGGGCCTCTAATTCTACCAGGTAGTGAGTAAGCTCAGTGACATTAAAAACCTGTTGGGGTAAATAAATGCCTTTATCAATAATTTCTCTAAGTGTGGCTGGAAGTTCTTGGGCAGCGATGGTCCCTGCACTCACAGCCTCACCACTTACGTTTACATTGTGAGGGTTGGCTCTATTCTTGAATCTGTTAAACCATCCATGAGTGGCAGTAAAAGATGCACTCTGTTCACCCTGCTTTTTCCTTCAAGTCTTCCAATAGGCTTTTAGCTTTTCCTCGAACAAACATTAAAGTAAGTGGGACTTGGCACTGATGCTGATCCTACATCCACACAGAGAAGTTTCTTCACCTCCTCTATCACTGTACCACAATTTATGGATATTACTGTTGACTTCATTGGCACAACAGACATCACATATTCCACGATCTTGTCCTTGTTCTTTAGCATTGTGCTAATGGTTGAATTATTCATTGTTATAAGAAGGAGAGACAGCTACCATCTTTTCACCTCAGTCTAATCTCTCAATTATTTTTACTTCTGTTTCCATGATTATTGTTTTGTGCTTCCTAGCGATCCCCTTCACACCACCAGTGCTTTTCCTCTTGCTTTCGGACACCCTGGGCTCTGATTGACACTGTACTACTGTACATTATTACACAGTACAGCAAGCACACAGCAGCACAATTGTGAAAATGTCTTGAAGACAGGTGAGTTACTTCTGTGATTTGTTCACATTTATGAATTTTTAATAATGCGAGGTCTGTTAGTATCATGGAAGTTCTCAAATGTTGTAAGTCAGGGACTTACTGTAATGATTCATTCATAAATGAAGTTCAAAGAAAGTTAATTGAAACCAAATGTGGTGGTACATACCTGTAATCCCAATATTCCAGGAAAGTGAGGTAGGAGGAACATGGTGTGAAGCTCGCCTGGGCTACATAGTCTCAAAACACACACAAAAAGTAAATTAAGAGTCTAAAGTCATTCCGCCATTCACCAAGTTAAAATCTAGTTTTATCTGTTGTCAAAGTCAAATTTCTGCTGGGCATTTGGTGCACATCAGTAATCCCAGCAGTTGGGAGGCTGAGGCAGGAGGATTACCGCAGGCTCAAGGCCAACCAGAACTACACAGTGAGTTCAGGGCCAGACTGAACTACATAATGAGACCCTCTTTTTTTGAGAGAGTCTCACATTGTAGCCCAGGCTGGTCTTTTTCTGATTTTATCCTTTTTGTTTTTTGAGACACTGTTGCTTTGAAATTCAGGCTGGCCCTGAACTCACTATGTAGCCCAGGCTGGCCTCCAATTTGTGTTGATCCTCCTGCCTCAACCTCCTCAGTGCTGGGATTATAGGCCTGCCCCACCATGCCGGGCCTCCCAGGTTAGTCTTGAACTCACGACAATTCTCCTGCCTCGCCTCTCAAGTGCTAGGATCTATAATCCCAGCCTATAACATGTACCATCATGCAAGCAAAACCCTTTCTCAAAAAAAAAAAAAAAATCAAATTTATTTTCCCTATAACACTTATCTGTGGAAAAAAGCAGAACACAAAATAGCATGTATAAATTTCTAACACTAGGATAAATAAAAATAAAGGCTGAATAACATGGTGGTGTATACCTCTAATCCTAGCACTCCGGAAGGCTTAAGCAGATCACAAGTTCCAGCCCAGCCCAGGTAACTTGGTGACTTAGCAAGACCCTGTCTCAGTATAAAAAATAAAGTATCGGAGATGTATCTCAGTGTGAAGGTCTTGAGTTCAAGCCCTAGTACCAAAAACAATTAAAAATTAAAATTAAAAAAGTAAAATGTCATGACTATAACCCTTCACTTAAAAGAAAAATAAAGGCTAAATTATGTGTAAATAGTTGATGATTGGTAAATGTTTTTGTGTGCTTTGTTGTGAGTTTTTGGTTTGTTTTGGTTTGATTTTATTTTGAGACTGGATCTCACCAAATCACTAAATTGCCCAGGCTGGGCTTAAGCTTGTGATTCTCATGCCTTAGCCTCTCAGAGAGCTGAGAATTGTTATTTTTGTCTTTCTTTGTACAGCTGGTCAAATGAACAAAATATTTTGTGAACTTTCACATCCAAATCCCAAACGGAACTATCAAAAACCATTACTGATAGTGCAGAACAGATGCAGACAGAACAGTAGCAAATGGCTATGGGATGTTAGGTAGCAAGGATGGAAGTGGCTCAGATTGCAACACAAGGTTTCTTACTATACCAAAGGCTCAAAGCAAATACAATCCCAGAAAAAAATCTAACAGAAGAAATGCCTACGTAATCAATGAAAATGTAACATCACTGGAAATACTGTGTTTATGTTATAGATATAGATACCTATTTTGTTCAGTTTAAGCATATGTAATATAAACAAATCGAACCATGTAGCTTGTAATAGGGGTTAAAAAATGTCCTTTCAGGTATTAAAGAAAAATAATAAGAGTTCAATATCTTTCTAGCATAAAGATAGAAAACTAGATTATATTTAAAGATCTCTTTTAGTTCTATTACCCTAGAATTTGAGATATCATCAAGGACCTAAAAGTAAAAACATAAAGAAAACCACACACACACACACACACACACACACCCTTAAATACTTCCTCATTCACAATAGGGAAATACCATGATAACAACTAGCAAAGTTAATGGTTTTAGGAAGGTATCTGGGGACACACACGGGCCCACAGGACCAAATCCCTGCAGTGAAAGCTGATATTCTGCAGAGCCGGGGTAAGGAGGTGCCTGCTTTCAGTGGCATTTCCTCTAGAACAGATAGCAAAAGGGAATTCAGCAGGATGGTCCTCTTAACATCCATTCTTCCATTTAGGAGGCACTAGCTGCTTTCCATCTCCTTTAAAGAATACTTATGTAGAAAAAGAATAAATGAGAACAAAATTCAAATATATTCCTGACCCGCTAACCCAGTTTGGAAAAATACAAGCGATTTAAATTTTGAGCCAAAACCCACTGAAAGGACTAGAAATAGTATTTATTCATCAGCTATAAATAAGAACTTTCTCCTTTGCATGCCAGGTTCAGATGGCTACAGACTATATGTATCCATCCATCCACTTACCGCCTTACAAAATGTACACATTTATTAACAGTATAAATTTGTCTAAACAGCAAGTGGAAGCTTTGTCCAATGTGAATGAAGCAGTAATTAATATCAACTATGATTTTTATTTTCGTTTCCCTTTTCTGTATACCATCACCTGGAAGACATTTTGAATAGTTCAGCAACACAAATCAATTTCTGCAGAACAGGTGTTTTTTGTTGTGGCAGTGGGTTTTTGTTTTGTTTTGTTTTTTATTTTGTTTTTTGTTTTTTTTTTTTTTTTTTTTTTTGGGTTTTTTTTTTTTTTGTTTTGTTTTTTTTTTGAGACAGGGTCTCCCTGTGCAGTTCAGGCTGGCCTTGAACTACAGGCCAGGCTGTCTTGAACTTGCAGCGATCCTCCTCTGCAGTTTTAAGGCTACTCTTCAGACCTAACCACCTTATGAATTTTGATTCAAGGTTTAGCAACGTAGTTTATGGTCCTGGAATAGATGGGGGTCTGGTCTATTCATTATAAACTGGGGCTCCAAAGCACTAGCCTATAACCAACAGATCTCTTGACAAAATTCCAAGCAGTCTTATTTAGAAAACGCTAACACATACACACACACACTCACAGAACACCTACTTCCTAATATTCTTCAGCGTGAAACGATTTGTTTCCTCTATCCTCGAATTTCGCTTCTCTTCTTCAACTCAGCTAGCCACAGGGCATTTTTAAGTAAATCTCCTTTTTGAAAAGGCCCTGCTGGGCTGCTCCAAGTCGGTGGCCCGAATCTAACCTCAGAGCCTGCTGTGCCTCAGCCCGAGCAGGCCACGCCTAGGGCCGCTCCTCCTACGACTGAAGTACCATCTTCTTTCCAGCCTGTGCTTTTAGTATGTGTGCGGCCGAAGCGAGCACTCCAGCCTGTGCTTTTCGTTCTGAGACAAACACTTCTACTCGGTTTTCTAAAGCTCACATCCTCTACGTCATCAAGTAGCTACAAAACACCTTTTCAAAGGAAGTGAGAAAAGAAAAAGGGAAAATTCACTGAGCAGCAGTGGCAAACAGGAAAATAATCAGCAGAGCTACTCAGACCAGGAGTTTCTGCATTTAGGGAGCTTCATCTTTAAAACCGTATATACCTCTCAAGCCTTAGGGATCGCTCTCTCCAAGGCAAGCTTCCGTC